TCGAGGAAAATTTAATTCAATTTCAACAGTTTTTACCTGATGACATTGGAATATTGATGAAATGATTTTGTTGATTAAATCAGTGATCACATGGAAATGTGTTTACTATTTTACTTATCTGAGTATTTCAAAAAAGTACCGATAACTAGTAAGAATATTTTCAATTCACAAAACATGAAAGACTCCTCAGCAGTGCGCATCCACGATACCGCACCATGCGGGGCTCGAACCCAGGACCTACTGGCTTCAACTGACTCATGATTTAAATCTGTGAAAATTTCTAAAATCTCCACAAACCCCTTCTGATAAAACATGAAAGAGCATTTTCATCAGATCCAATCAAAATCAAATCAGTTTTGTTATGTACATCGGATTTGAAAGGTTTTAAACATCAAGTTATTTTGCCAACTTGCCTAGGTTTTTTTTAAAGCATTGCCTCTCAATATTCATTGATGAAATGATGATGATGATGATGATGACACAGAGCTTAGAAGAAATATGTTCATTTATTTACTTCGATAAAACTTAGAAACGTACAAACCACTCATTCATTTCAATTTCTATGGTGCTATGAAGTGCTTTGAAGTATAATTACACAGTGAACAATTTACTTGTTTAATTATTACTATATATGATATTACATGACTTATCAAATAATCCCAACTTCTAAACACTGTGGTTGAAAGTGTACCTCATACATTTTGTTCATGATAAAACGATTTCCTGATTAAATGATACTTCAATTAACCCTATTGAAATGGTAATTTTCTCAACGGATCAATAATCTCTCATTTGATAAGTTGTCAGGCAATTAGAGCTATTGTTCATATGAGTAATATTTAATTATGTCAACATGACGTGTCAGATTCCAAGTGATTTATCAAGGATGGACGCAAATGCCAGAAAACACTACACAGTCTTTCACTTATTCCTGTCATTGTAAACTACTCTTTATTCAGTGGACTTCTGTACACTTTGATATCAAGAAGTACTTCTAGCACTGAATACCTTGGTCAATGGACATAGGAACATTTCTATATTCTCAATAGTCTTGACTAAATCATATGAACAAGTCAGATTTTGACCAACACATTTATTATGGTCGTCATTGCAGATCACTGAAGCGTATAGCTTTTGCATCACAGCATCCCTAAAAATAACCTGAATATTTCTAACATTTGAAGATTAATGGTCAAAACACTTTAAACTCAATACTGGTAAATTCGTCGAGTGACATCTGTGAAAAATGAACGACATCCTGATAACTTTGATAAGGTTTTTATGGAGAACTGACTAGCTCAATAAAAATCTATTTCAATGACATTTATGTAACTAAATAATGCAAATTCTTACGTAGAATTTCAGTCGTTAAATAGGGTATATATATATACATATCCTATTTAAAATGTCAGCTATTTGATAATGTCAAGATGCCTAGAGTGAGAAATTCAGAATGATAACTTGAAAGTCTGATCTTGTAATTAGGCTACCAAGAAAATAAACTGTTCCATCCATTACATTGCAATCGAAATAGTCATATGCTCTTACTATTATTTTGTTAGTTTCCTTGAATAATGGCAATATGGTTCGCATATCGAACTTCATTCGCTTATCATTCAAGCCACTTAACTCTATAATGTAATGAAATTGTTGAATATAGTCAGTACGAAAGGATCGTCGATACGTAATCGTCTTTGAGGGATCTGGATCTTATAGTTGATTCATTTACTTAGGATTGTTGGGGTTTAATCCGAATTCCGGATTCATTACTGGACTTAATTTAATGTAAAATTGTATTGCAGAAATCTTTATATTGGTTACTATTCTTTTAGTTTACGTCAAGTCGTGCAATAACTTTACATGGGCGCATAGATAGAAAAGCTCCATAAGTGAGCCAATTAATGTAATACATCAAATCTTTTTCAGCATTATTTCAATCTATTTGATTTACCATACTTTATGATCGGATACCTTAGACATACTACTAGATTGGAAGAATCTGTATCTATATCATAATATCTCTTATCATTTCACTGGACGATACAACTCAATTTAACACTAGTAATCTTCAATTTCATCTTTCATGTTGAAAACGGTGAGTTGTAATTAATCTTCTCCACGAAGTGTTATCACTTACCTCTCCAGTATAAGCAACTAGCACGAAATCCCAATGTTTTGTATAAGCATAGACTTTAGCAATCATCAGTCAATTAAGTATTGACCGATTGTACAACCTTTCTGATAAACTAAATTCGCTAAATATTGAGACCACCCTCTTTTCAATATAACACTAAAAGAAATGGAATGGAGACTAGAACAATGAATTAGAATTGTGCACAGTTACACAGTGACGATATCATGGTTTACATATATTCACTACAATAGTTATTTTTCAGATATACTTCTGACGATGTTGTAGAATTTGCTGGATTATCGAAAAAAATAGACCGAAACACGTACACTCTCGTATTCCTACTAGATAGTCTTGATGATTACTGTGGTTAGTGTTCCTGACCACATGACCATAAATAATATCTTCACGTAAAATTATGTCAGTATAGCAACACTCTGAGATTTATCTCGATTTTGGTTAGTTTTAGTCAAGCCTTTTTACTATCCTATTTAACAGACAATCTTTTTCAAACAGTAACAATTCTCTTGTTTCTTTGTATTATTATGGTCACTATAATATCTGTACAAACGTGTACGTTTGATCACATGGGAGAGCTTACAAACATTTATCTATCTAGCTTAAATGTTGATATCTTAAATACTGCTCGATGAGTCATTCTCTTTCTCATGTATATATGCGCTCGAATCCTATTAATAGTCTTTGACTTGCTTAGGTGTGCCTTGATTCGATTTGACTATAAATTCACTTCTATATTCGCTTGATATTGTTGTAGACTTTCAGTCGTTAAATAAGGTATATATATATATATATATATATATATATATATATATATATATATATATATATGTCCTCACTGCTGAGGAGTCCCGTATCAGAACGAAACGGCCGTCCAGTGCTTCCAGGTTTTCCATGGTGGTCTTACATTAATTAACTCATGATTTCAACCAATGAAATAGTCAATGACTGTTGCAACGAACCATATTGATAAGTATAGACTACCTGGTTGAGACATTCACTCACTCACTCACTCATTCATGGTTATTGCAATCAGTGATTAGGCACGACGATTGACGTAGTTTGAAATCAGTCGCAACTGTTCATCTGCATTCACTCTTTGTCTACTTCTACTCAGATGTTTTGGGATTTGAGTTATTTTACACTGATTTTCGTTCCACAAACTCCATTCGTCCTTGTCGAACCATATTTTCTATGCGTAGTTGTTTCTACTACATACAAGTGATACTGTACCTACTTTTGATAGTCTCCAAATAATCTTGATATCTTTATCTGGTTGTTCAGAATTGATATATCAACGTGAACCAGTTCATATATTGTATGTTTGATTCTATATGCCTTATGACCGACTGATTGATGATTTTTGCTTACATGTTTTAGTGTATGTTGTATTTATCGGTACATCTTGAATTCTGTAAATGATAGAACAAAACTTCTCTAATTAATTTTCACCGGAATACTCACTTTATTGCCCTAAACTTTAGTTGTTAATGATTATCCTATTCCAACAAATAAATCAGCCACATGCTTTTATACTCTTGATTATATTCAGTTCCTTTTTTTCCCATCCCTGACATTGTCCAATTTCATTCATTAAAATAATCAGTATTTGGTATTTTATGAAATGATCTGATTGTTTGCTCGTTGTTTTTTTCTTTTGTTTGACGTTGTAGTATTTATCATTCGGTATTCGAATAGATGCTGGTTGAAAATAACAAAATCTCTTTAGTTAATCATGTTCATTATTACACATTACTTTTTACGTGACATATACCATATGGGTAATATAACATTATCATTATCATCAAAGTTGTCATGAAATATACTACTTAAAAGGTAATTGATTAACTAGTTGAAGGTTACTTTGATCCAATTACATAGCATCATTATGAAGTCTAAAAGTGTTTTAGTTTTCTAAAACACTTATATGTGCATTCATACTGATGCATATGTACACGTCCATACGGCCACATCACATATTTATTATACTACTACTACTACTACTACTACTACTACTACTACTACTACTACTACTACTACTACTACTACTACTACTACTACTACTACTACTACTACTACTACTACTACTACTACTACTACTACTACTACTACTACTACTACTACTACTACTATAGCGACTCACGTGCAAATGGGTTTATTCTCATTTAACTCAGTTAAGCCCTTTTGCTAACTTATTTAGCGGACAAAGTCATCCGCACTATAACAATTTATTGTACCCTTATTACTTTGTGTTTGTATGAATTTGTATGCTTGAATATTGTTTACTGCCTACGCATTTATTCACTCTGCTAGTTTTACTACTAACCGCTTATTCGATTCGATTACTCATTCATTTCGCATGGTATATATATGTCCATGTTATTCATGTTCAACACTTACTCACTCACTCACGCGCTCTCGTCACGCTCTTGCTCTCGCTCTCGCTCGCTTGCTTGCCTTTTGGCGCAACTCTCCTATGCTTGGTTAATGCATCTGTACATTTGGATATATGTGTGTGGTCTCGCAATAAACGTAATCAACACTTCGTATTTTGCCTTCTGATTATTATACCGTTGGGGCGTTATACAGAACGGTTAGCAAGACGAATTGTATACGAAGTTAAGGATTATATCGAATACCGACCACCACATAATTGGCGATCCCGACGCGCGAACGCGAAACAATCTTCAAAGACATAATCCAATTCCTAAAATCCAACGTACTCGATTGCAATTGTAACTATCATTTGGATTATAATTATAACTGTGGATTTATTATCTCATTATTTTAATTATACGTACATTATCTCATAAACATTATTGAACATCTCGATAATATTCATAGTAAACAACGATATTTTACAAACAATTGATATTTTGGTGCAATTTAGTAAGTTCGTTCTTTGTTATAAATTGTACCATTTGTTTTTATCATTGTTTTTATCGACTCACTTTTTTCTGTGACATTCGCATTATATTTGTGTAATTTTTGATCTTTACAAATATGTCTTTAAGTAACGATACAGTAGAACTTTCACAAACGCCGTCCGTGAGGTCCATTAATGTAACTATTCCTCCTTTTAAAGTCACAGATCCTCAACTTTGGTTTACCAGGCTTGAACATTACTTTGTAGCTAATCGTGTTCATACACAGCGAGATAAATTTGGCCACGCGAGCTCGCTACTTCCAGATGAAGTAGCAGATAATGTACGAGAGATTTTAATCAATCCAGACATAGAAAAGCCATACGACGCATTAAAACAGGCAGTGATTAAAGCCGTCTCATTAAGCGACCGGCAAGCCATCGAACAACTTCTCAGTCAAGTGCAGATAGGAGATAGGACTCCATCGCAACTAAAAAACTATATGAGAAGCATAATCAATGACAGAAAAGTTGATAAAGACATATTTTATCAGTTGTGGTTACGACGACTTTCAGCGAACGTGCAGCAGATCCTCGCGGTTGAGGACAGCGATGTCGATATAGACAACATTGCTAAAATAGCCGATAGGATTTATGAGAGAATGAAACAAACGAGTCCGCAAGGTCATAGTACCACAGTAGATGGACGAATCGATGCGTTACAAAAGGAGATTAATGTTTTATGCCACAAGCTGACGAAGCTAAATCAGAGCGATACGCAAAGAGGATGGTCACGAAGTAGATCGAAGGAAAGAAGTCGATCACGTTCTAGGGGACTCTCAGCTCCTACAATATGTTGGTACCATCAAACTTTCGGCGATAAAGCTCGAAACTGTAGACCGCCATGTAAATTCAAGCGATCACACCGATTGTCGATAACCGCCGCAACAACTACAACAGCTCCTAGAAACAGTCGTTTATTTTACGTTCAGGATAGAGTAACAGGCGCTCAATTCTTAGTGGATACGGGAGCAGAAGTAAGCGTCGTGCCTCCAGTAAGTAACGAAACACGAAATATAGATACAGCGCTAACGCTTAAGGCAGCAAATAAATCCGATATAAAAACATATGGCAAGCGAAAAGTAACCTTGAATTTCGGTCGTATTACCCCATTCCGCTGGGAATTCATTATCGCAGATGTAGCGGTACCTATAATCGGTATTGATTTCTTAAAGAATTTCGACTTACTAGTGGATACCCGACGAAACCGACTCGTGAACGGCGACCATTCAGTAGTGATAAGAGGAGTGACGACTGATCACGCATCCATGAGTTTAGTAGTGTCAGAAGATAAAAGAGAGCCATATAGATCGCTTCTAAACGAGTATGCCGACCTGACTAAGGTATCATACGATAACAGAGATCTTAAACATACGGTACAGCACCATATTATAACGAAAGGTCCACCGACTAACTCAAGACCACGAAGGCTAGATCCGAAAAGGTTGAACGTCGCGAAACGAGAGTTCGAAAAGTTGATGAAGCTTGGTATCATAAGACCTTCTAATAGTCCCTGGGCGTCCCCATTGCATATGGTTTCGAAGAAGAATGGGGAAATCAGGCCGTGCGGAGACTATAGAGCTCTTAACAAGCAAACGATAGCAGACAGATATCCGATACCACATATCCACGACATGACTACCAATATGGAAGGTGCCACGATATTTTCGAAAATCGATCTCGTTCGAGCTTATTACCATATTCCTGTAGCGGCAGAAGATATATCTAAAACGGCTATAACTACTCCATTCGGGTCATTCGAGTTTTTGCGAATGCCATTCGGATTAACTAACGCAGCCCAAACCTTCCAAAGATTCATCGACCAAGTCGTCAGAGGTTTGGCAGGAGTTCACGCATATATCGACGATATACTAGTAGCTAGCGCTACCAAGGAAGAACATCTACAACATCTACGACAGTTGTTTACGAAACTTCAAGAACATGGCATCTCTATAAACATTGAGAAGTGTGAATTCGGAAAAGAGTCTTTACAGTTTTTAGGTCACAATGTAACTTCTCGAGGCATCACACCAGTAACAACAGAAGTCGACGCCATTAGGAATTATCCTCTACCCGACTCATGGAAAAAGTTACGCAGATTTCTCGGGTTAATAAACTATTACAGACGATTTATCCCGAATTGTGCGTCAATATTGCAACCATTAACAGATGCGTTACGCGGACACGCACGGACATTCCAATTATCATCAGAAGCGATTCAAGCATTCGAGCACGCTAAAAAAGCACTAAATAAAGAAATGACACTAACTAGACGAAAGAGCGAGACACCGTTAGCTATCATGACGGATGCATCAGACGTAGCGGTAGGAGCCGTTTTACAACAATTAGTAAATGGCATATGGGAACCGCTCTCATTTTTTTCGAAAAGACTGAATCCGACTCAAACAAGATATAGTACTTTCGGAAGAGAACTCTTAGCAATCTACTTAGCGATAAAACACTTCCGTCATATGGTCGAAGGCATAAATTTTACCGTCTATACAGACCACAAACCACTAACGAAAGCATTAAGCGCAAAGCAAGACAATTATTCCCCGAGAGAGATTCGACAATTAGAGTTCATTTCACAGTTCACGTCCGACATACAGTACATTAAAGGACAAGAAAACGATGTGGCCGACGCATTGTCAAGAGCAACGATAAGCACACTTATGGCTAGTGGAATCGATTATAACGGTCTGGCAAAGTTGCAGGAGAGAGACGTCGAGTTAAATAAACTCAGATCCGGTGGCACAACATCATTAGTACTCGAAGAGGTGCGGTTCGGTAACACGAAAGTAATTTGCGATACATCAACAGGCCGACCGCGACCATTTATCCCGAAAACGTTGCGACACAAAATATTCGAAAGCATGCACAATATGTCGCACCCAGGAATAAAAGCCACGATAAAACTGATTAGTGAACGATTCGTTTGGACAAACATGAATCACGATGTACGTAATTGGACACAGGCATGCATGAAGTGCCAAAAGGTTAAGGTACATCGTCATACTAGCTCTGCAGTGGGTCCGTTTTCACATCCAGACACTAGATTTGAACATATACACATCGATATCGTAGGACCACTGCCCGTTTCAAATGGATACAACTATATCTTTACATGCATCGACAGGTTTACACGATGGCCGGTAGCAGTACCGATAAAAGACACCTCAGCTGAAACAGTAGCTAAAACACTAGTTGAAAATTGGATTTCTTACTACGGTGTACCAACGATTATCACAACTGATAGAGGAGCACAATTCGAAAGTCGACTCTTTCAGCACCTTACAGAACTCCTCGGTATTAAACGAATACGAACGACATCGTACCATCCAATGGCAAACGGAATGGTCGAACGCCTACATAGGCAATTAAAAGCGTCCCTTACAACCGTCATGGTTAACAACGATTGGTCTAATAAACTTCCTCTAGTAATGTTAGCCCTAAGAGCAACAATTAAACAAGACATGGGGTGTTGTCCAGCCGAGTTAGTATATGGAACTACTCTGCGATTACCTGGAGAATTCTTCACTTCAAGTAAAAGTGTTCCGACTGATGTAACCGGCTATGTGCAACGTCTGAGAGAGCACATGAGCGACTTAAAAATAACACCTCCCAGGCCACAACAACGACGAGTATTCATACCACAGGAACTACATAACAGCACTCACGTATTCATTAGAAGAGATAAAGTACAACCACCTCTTCAACCGAGTTACGACGGACCATTTAAAGTGATAGAGAGGACAAATAAAACGGTTACCATAGAGAAGGCTGGAAAGACAGATGTAATTAGCATCGATCGAGTAAAGCCAGCTTTTATCGATAGCGATATTCAATCAACAAGTACAGACTCTGCTAAGATGGTCACACCAGCGAAACACGAGTTCCAAAAATCAACGACGTTAACTCAACAAAAAAACGAGACTCCGATAACAACAAGATCTGGCCGCAGAGTAAGATGGCCCCAACATTATGTTGCTACAATTTTCTATTAATAATAATCTACTATTTGGAATATTAATTATAACTTCTACTTCATTGTATACACATGCATTATTAAGCTCATGTTATACGCTATAAAACTCAACGTATCTTATGTACCCTTAAACTTATACGTATAATTGTTATTTAAAATGTAAAGACAATACCGCATTCCTCCTATTTCTTGCTATTATTTTATGTAACCTAACGGACGGGCACAAACCAAATGTACAGCACACACTAACTTAATCTTAATTTTGTATAAGCCATTTTTTTTCAAACGATTGTAACTACCCTATCCAGTCTACTATTTTTTTTGTGCAAACACAGACATTTTCCATATATCTTTGTTTGCAGGGGGGAGCTATTATAGCGACTCACGTGCAAATGGGTTTATTCTCATTTAACTCAGTTAAGCCCTTTTGCTAACTTATTTAGCGGACAAAGTCATCCGCACTATAACAATTTATTGTACCCTTATTACTTTGTGTTTGTATGAATTTGTATGCTTGAATATTGTTTACTGCCTACGCATTTATTCACTCTGCTAGTTTTACTACTAACCGCTTATTCGATTCGATTACTCATTCATTTCGCATGGTATATATATGTCCATGTTATTCATGTTCAACACTTACTCACTCACTCACGCGCTCTCGTCACGCTCTTGCTCTCGCTCTCGCTCGCTTGCTTGCCTTTTGGCGCAACTCTCCTATGCTTGGTTAATGCATCTGTGCATTTGGATATATGTGTGTGGTCTCGCAATAAACGTAATCAACACTTCGTATTTTGCCTTCTGATTATTATACCGTTGGGGCGTTATACAGAACGGTTAGCAAGACGAATTGTATACGAAGTTAAGGATTATATCGAATACCGACCACCACACTACTACTACTACTACTTCTACTACAACTACTACTACTACTACTACTACTACTACTACTACTACTACTACTACTACTACTACTACTACTACTACTACTACTACTACTACTACTGTAGTAAACAGGATCACGGGTGGGGACAAACGGATGTCGACAGATATAAGTAGTATGCAACATCAATCAAAAGTGGAATGCTCGATGGCAGAAGGTTAAGAAGATCGAAGAAAAATGACTGAGAAAGGAGATTGATTGGTGTGGAAACAAAGAAGAAATCAAGTCTGAGACAATTGATTAACACTATGAAAATGAAGTATTTACTATATGATTCTCAGATTTTATCAAGATATTCTGTAATGTTGTATTGAAATACATTCGATTGTCCCCATTTGTATTGTCATTCACCACACTAGAACTACGGCCGTTTCGTCCCATTATTGGGTGCGCAGCAGAGTGCATTCACTATAGAATAGACAGTTGATAGAATTAGTTTGAAACTGACACTTCGGTGGAATTACGGCCACACATCACAAAAGCGTCTAGATTGAGATTTG